GGCAGTGTCACTGGCCCTCATATGTGGGATCCGAACCGGGGCCCTGTAGCGTCCCAAGCCAGTTCTTAACCATCGCGCCACTCGGCCAGCCCACCCCATCTCTTTTTATTGTGCGTTAAACCTCCTTCTACCAGAGCACCCTCTCAGGTTAAATAATTGTTTACTTCAGCAAAACTTCCTGTAGTGATGACTTTGATTATTCCTTTAGTTCCAATTCATTGGGCTTCTTTCTCAAGAAAACATAAATTTTCGGTGGGAGCTCTATTTATTGTCCTCTACATTTATCATTGTCTCCTCATCATTTTTATCTCTTTTTCCCTTTCCTTTGCATCCTGTGAAAGTTTCCAAATTTGCCCAGGACTTGATTTTATAACTTCAATTCTGATTTTCTTGCAGAGTGGATTTCGTTCTGCCATTGCATTCTTAGCATGCTTGGAATCTTGATTTATCTTACCCTATTCATCTCATCCCATTTTCTCTCTACCTCTCTTTATAGTTCCTGCTCTTCTCAGAGGCGATATCTTTTAGTACCCTACTAAAGGCCTCCCTCCGATGGTATTCTAAGCCTTCCTTCTGGCTCCTAGAGCCTGCCTGAGTATTCACCAATAGAAACTGCATGTGATTACCCTTAGTCCAGCTTTCAGTCTGCTAGTAGGCGGGTCAAATCCCTTTTTCACATCAACAGCAAAAGCAGATAGATGTGCCTAGCTTCTGTCCCCTTACCCACTATAGCAAAACTTTCATCTTGTATGGGTTCTGCAGGACTGAAATGTGACTATTAAGAAAGTCCCATTTCCTGTTTCTGTGCCTTGCTGGGGAGAAGCAGTCCATGAAAAGCTGTAATCTCCAGTGTGCTATGCTGCCAGAACCCGTCGTCTCTGCTTTACCTGTGCAGAAGGTATCTCCCAGCATGCACTTGCCACAATCTTTTCCTCACCCCCTTTCCTCTGTCCTGTGTGCTACCCATGAAGATTCTAATTCAGGAGGTTTGGGAAGCCAGATGTAGAAAGACCCCAGTTATTGTTATAGAGATTGGTAGAGACCTCTCATTTCTAAAATAGAAGACCCCAAATAAAGAGAGCTGAAGGGGCTTTCGTCAGCTTTCAGTTGAGCAAGTTATGAGTGAGATGCCAGGTGAATTTCTTAGTCAGGTTCTCTGCACCTTGTGATTGATTCTGGTTGTCTAATTAGTCCTAGCTTTTGGTAATGGCATGAGTTTCCAACTTTTGATGAGTTTCCTGTCTTCATGGGCATTTTAGCCAGAGGAAGCTAGCCAGATTCCATTTGAAAGCAGAACCAGAGAATATTTTTAGCTTGTTTCATTTTAATGTAGCCAACTTCTTATTAAGAGATTTCACTGATGAGGTAGCGTTAATTTGACCGTTGCCAGGAACAACAAAAATGTGCCATGCCTTGGTAAGCAGCTATAAGTCAGAGAAGATAATGGAGACAAAGGTGCATGGCTATGTTCTGGTGGATGGCAGTTCGATCTTTAATCCCACCCTAATGCATTGTAACAGAATCCCCAGCATGTAATAGAGACAACTGGGGGACCAGGCCTCAGGGTATGGAATGTACTTATCAGTGTAAAATATCTTGGTTTCAATTGTTTTATGCTAGATCCAAATGCCCTCAAGTTATAAGGTTTTTTAAAAACTTCTCAAATAATCAATAACTCCATCCTGTACTATAAAATATAGTTTGGATAAATCTTCTTTACTTTTTAAAACACAATTTAAGGCCCTTTCATGACTGGATTTGTCCTGTTCTTCCCCTCCTTTTCCTCAAAAGCTCTACCATTCATCCCCTACCTGATAGCAACACCAAACCTCTCCTTTCTGTGACCACATCAGCCCTTTCCTACCACTGTGTCTTCACACACGCTTTTCCTCCGCGCATGCCCTGTGCCCTCCTATACTTGGCAAACTCCTACACATCCTTCAGGCCCCCTGGGCAGTTTGTGGCTCCCTCTACTTTGTTTACTTAACACTTGGTACAAACCCCCCCCTCATAATACAAGTCATGGGCAGTTGTCCCTGTGTGATGTTCGATGTATACTGGACTGAATGAACAGAAAAGAAATAATGGAAGGGCTGCTGATGTGCTCACCCAAATAGCAGAAATATTAATAGTCTCTACTAGCCCCCTGCTCCTCCAGGATCTTGCCTGACCTTGTTTAAAAAAAAAATGGGGTGGGAGGAAACAAACTAACAGCTATTGAGTATTTATGATGCTGAAAGGCTTGCCCTGGAGGGGATGAGAAGTCCAAACTCTGTCACTTTTTAGCTGTGTGCCCTCAAGCAAGATTCTTATCCAGTTTCTTCATCTGTAGAATGAGGATAATAATAGAAATCTCCTTATAGGGTTGTTGTTAAAATGCAAGGAAACGGTATTTTAGACCACTTAGAAGAGTTCCTGGCTCATAGTAAATGTTTAATAAAAAATTACCCATTAATATTAATCAGTTGGAAAAGACAGACAAATTGAATATCCCAGAGTGGATCTCTAAGTGGAATAACAGAGAGGCACTTAGTCTGACTGGCGTTGAGGAAGGACATGCCAGAGGAGATGATGCTTGAAAGAAGCCTCCGCAAGGAGCCGCCTCTCCAGGACAAGCAGGCTGCCTTCTTCAGGAGGTAACTCCCTCCCCAGCCCAGCCTGCCTGGAGGACTAATCTGATTTAGGCCCCCACTCCCTAGAACCTGAACCAAAGGAGGGAATCTGGAGGAAGCCCCCTTCATCACCATCTAATCTGCACATCATGTTCCTAAGCACCTGGGAAGGCAATTCAGCCTCTCCAGGCCTCCAGAGCCTTACCTGTGATGTTCCTTTGAGTGACAGCGTGGAGCGTAAGTCAGTACGGGGCCTCCCTCAGCAGACCAGGTCACCCAATGCAAGGCAAAGATAAATGAGGGCTGTCCTGGACAGATGGACACTCGCTGTTTCCCCTGCCTTCCTATCTGGGTGCAGAGATCTGAAAGGCAAGTAGGGGACCGCGTTTGGAAATGCTGCGCCCTTCTCAGCAAGAGTCAGAATGGAAAAAGCAGGAGGCTGTATTATGGGAGATAGTATTTCGGGACGCCCTGTTTCTTTCTTTCTTGGATGTCCAGATTCCTCTCTGAAGTAATGAAGGGTAAACACCAGAGGGCTGCGTCCACAGCTCCTGGTTTGACTTGGCAGATTTGATTCTCTCCTGGTTATTTCTGTGACCGTGTCTCTTCCACTGGCCCCATTCCTCACATTCACAGCATAGAAAACTCTAAAGTTACTCAAATATTCACTCTGAAGATGCTCAAGGAATGCCTTCTATGACCGCTGGCTATACCCTGTGTGGGAAAGGAACCCTGACATGTTTCCAGAAAGCAATGCAAGCCCCAGGATCTCTGCCTGCATCTCTTTGTCAAAGTATGAGTTGGATTAATTCATCAGATTCCTGTGCTTACATGGCTGAAGAAATGGCAACTTTGTAGAAAAAGAAAGTGGCCAAACAGAAGCTGGAGGTAGGCTTTGGTGGCTGTAAAATACATGAAGAAGAGAAAAGCACCAAGTAATTTTTCCTGGGCATGTTTGCTTTGTCTCTGAACATTTTTTTCTCATGTATGTCAATGGGTTAATTGCCTTCTGACACTGACTGACAATAAGACATGTTCTCCTGCTAAGATTAAGCAAAGTTAATTGAAGGAAGTTAGTAATGAAAATATTGGACTCAGTCCATTCTGGTAGAATATGACACTGGAAATTATAGCCAGAGTGACTCCTACACTTGCACATCATGTTTCTAAGCTTCCAGGAAACCAGCCATCAGTCACCCGAGTTCTGTGTCTATCACAAACGAACAATGCGGCAATCTATAAACCATGAATCCTGAGTATCACTGGAGTACAGAAAGCGTCTCTAGAAAATTCATCACCAATGTCTTCAGCATAGAGGGAAGCCAATTGTTTCTATATTTAACCATAATTTTATTTCTGAATATTATCTCAGATGGCTGAGTGCATTCATTTCTCAAATATGTTTACCCCAAATACACAAATTGTTCGGTCTGCTCCGTCCTCCGCTGATGGAAACAGTGCCTGAGAAGTCACGAAGCCTGATTGTTCACTTAATTGGCTCTTGTGTTGTTGGATCTGTAGAGATGAAAAATGGGGAGGATGCCAGGTCTCCAGCCCTATGTGTAGTAAGGATCCTCGGAGCCTAATCGTCTTAAAATGCCAAAAACATTCCAATTTCTGAGGGCTCTTCGGCCAGCATCTGTCATAAATTCAAAGAAACTCCTACGATCACGCAGCCAGCAATGAAGCAAATGAGATTCAATTAGCCACTGGCGGGAGTATCATCTGCTGGTGGTAACTGGATGCATGCAGGAGCGTCTGTAACGCTGGTCCATGGAGAGCGGGTCCTGTATGGCTTACCCAGGCTGGTGCTGCTGGCAGACAGAGCCCTTCTCGGGCCTGCTGACCTCCTGCTCTGCCAGCTGTCCTCAACATGGACGGGACAGGTGTCCATGGCTCTGAAATAGAGGAATTTAGGGGGTCTGTATTAACCATCTAGATGTGTTCTTTAATTATTCAATGAGCATTATTCCTTCTTGATGGCAAAGCCAACCAGAGACTAAGCTGACCTCCCACATGAGTGACTCCAGGGCATTGTTTAAGGTTCTCCAACTTTAAAGGGATTCACCAGCTTGCTCCCGTAATACCTGAAATTTACATGAGAACAAAGCCTTCAGTTCCATGATCAGAGACATGACTTAAAAGGGTGAAAGAGTCCAAGGAGGGTGGGATAGGAAAGGAAGCAGCATCTGTTGAATATAGGCTAGGCCTTCTGTGATGTATCTTACAAATCTATTCTCATTTCATTGTCACAGTTGCACTTCCTGATAGGAAGGAGATGATCCACTTAAACTAGTAGTGGAAAGACTAAGAAAGACATTATTTACATAGCAGGGTTTAGGAAAACTAAAAAGTACAATGTGCTGGGATGAGCAAAAATGAAAAGTGTCCTCCATCTGCAAGGCAAGAGTTGAAAATGGTTACCAGAACCACAGAGAGGGCTCCTGACAGGAGATATGGCCAGGTACAGGGGGATGCAGCCAACCAGGAGTGACCCAGAGTGACAGCCAGAAGATAAGCTAACCCCTCCTCCTCCCACCCTCCAAGCTTGTGCTGGTGCTTTCTGTTGGCCAAACCCAACCAGAAACCGGACGGCAGGGAGGCCTATTGATGTATCTCTCAGAGCAGGCAAGGGAAAAGTGAGAAGTGGATCTGGAAAAGCACGTGGATGACACTCACACAGAGGTGTATTGTTCTCCCCGTTTCTCAGAGGAGGGATCTGAGGGTCAGAGAGGGCGAAATTCACAGTCAACCAACCAGGATTCAAACTCCAAAGGTCTCTCTGAGCCCCGAGTCAAATGGGCACGTTCTGAGTGAGATGGTGAACAGATGTAAATTCACACTAAAGTTCTAAATGCCTGAGGGTGGCAAGGAAGGAAAAGATAAGCAGGTCCTGAGAAATGACAGGATGGAGGGAGTGGGAGATACAGAGAATGGGGAAGGGTATAAAAGAGGAGCCCAGGGGCACAGGGAGGCAGACGACTGATTCCCGACCCTGAGGAGGCCTCCTCCTCTTCAAGAGTCGTGCACACCTGGCTGCAAGGCACTGGACGGTGCTCAGAGTTCCACCATCAGACCCATGGCCAACAGGTCTCTTATGATGAAATGCTAGGTTTTTAAGCCTATGTATTATTCCCCAAAATTACTACTATTTGAAGAAAGAATACCAGAAATTAGAAGTAAAATGCTAAACTGTTTTGGTCCTAACCTAGAAAGGAGCATGAATGAGTATCTTTGTGGTAAGGTCAGTATCTGCCGTGAAAGTGCTGGCCCTTAGTTGTTCTTGGGAGAAACTAAACCTAAGACAACACAGAATCCAGGAACCCCGTTGGCTGCTGGGAATGAGTTCTAAGCTTGAATTCAAGAACCGGAGTTGAAATCTTGGCAAGTCGTTTCCTAACCTACCTCAACGTCCTCCCACTATCAACTGTTTCTTACTCTATGAAATAGTGAAACATGACTAGTTGTTTTCCTGTGGATTTCTTGTGGAAATCAAATGGAATAAGGTATATTTGTAAACTACGGGTATACAATATGTAAAATACAAACTATCTTTTTCTATTATGCAGACCTTATTTAAAATTTAAAAAAAAACAAAAGCCCCCCCAAAAAAATCAGGAGTTGGATTGGGAGAAGTCTATCATATTGTAAGAAATTTTGTGATTATTGCCCCATTTCCAACCCCACCCAATACCTATAGCCCCACAACCTAGCACAGGGTTGAAATAGAAAAATTCACCTAAAGTGTAAATGTAACTGTGACTCATTTCTTGGAAATTTTCCTGACGCATCTGAGTGAAATGTAATAATAAACTAACATTGTCTTTCCTCTGCCTTGTGCCTTTCCCTGTCCCCACATTCCTAAGGAATTACTAAGCAGCCTGAGAGTTCTAGGCACATCCCTTGGTGGTGATTTGTAACATCTTCTTTTGAGTAGGTTTAGTCTGGGGACTGAAGAAAATCATTTAGATGAGCTGGGATCACACCTCTCTCTCCTTGCTATCCCCTCATATGGAGAACTTAGTCGTAAGTAGGTGACAGAATGATGCAGTCACCAACAGTGAGATGGCTCATTTAGCCAGCATCGCTCAGTGCCTTCTCTGTGCCAGGCCCTATACCAGGGGCTGGGGACACCAAGGTAAGTGAGCAGACGGCAGTGCCCTGCCCAGGAAGCTCACCCACAGCCCAGGGGAGTGTCGTTCAAGTAAACCAGCAACTGAGGCCCACTGTAATCTCTCCATGACAGGTCAAATCAGACATATGAATTAGACCTACATTTGAAGTTGTTTCAGCACCTAAACATAATTTAAAGGTAAAAATTTCAGACCTTGCCATCACATTTTGTCTACATGTTATTGACAATCGAGATGTTTCTCATCATCAGAGTATCTGGCATGACGTGGACCCAGACGCAGATCATGAGAGTTTTGTTACTAAAATGTTCCATGGGGTTATTGACCATGGTATTGACACAACCCAAGGAAACTAATTTCCCCTAGATGAGGAAAAATAACATCAAACTGTTAAAATGATCAGGTTGCCAAATAAGAACAAGCTACTACTTGACCCAAGAAATGTCCAATGCCATTTGTTGACAAAGCCACTGACTTAATTTAGCACATGTTTGTCTTCTACCAGAAAAAAAAAAAATCATGGGACACAGGGTTAGCAAAACATGCATAAGACAGGACTGATCTAAAATGACAAGCAGGGAGGGCCGGCCGAGTGGCGCGATGGTTAAGAACTCGCTTGGGATGGCAGAGGTCCCCGGTTCGGATCCCACATATGAGGGCCAGTGACACTGCCCTCTACAGCTAAGATGCTGAACAACAGCTCAACCTGGAGCTGGGCTGCCATGAGTCGCCGGCGACGGCATAGGCTGCACTCCCTGTGGCAGTGGGTTGCCATGGGCTACCGTGTGTAGCCAGCAGCCAGCGTGAGCGGCCAGCAGCCGCAGTGAGCGGCCGTCCAGAAGCCGGCGACTGATCTGGCCTCGCCAGAGAAGAGGGCAATGATGGTGCCAACTTGGGCCAGTGAAGCAACGTCCTCCACAACTAGATTGAAGAACAAAACGACAGCAACTTGTCTGTTCCCCTTCCCCCAATTCCCCAGCACTGTTCCCATCCCCCCAATTCCCCAATAAAAATTTAAAAAAATCTTTAAAATGACAAGCTGGGAGACCCAGGCTGGTGGAGTCCAAATTTAGATGAGGCTAAAACTTTCGCTTCTATAGTCAGAGACAAGATTTAAAAGGGTGAAGGATTAGAAGAAGGGTAGGCTGGGAAACAATGAACATAGACCGTGGAGAAGCACCATCCTTTTGTCAAAGATTTTAATCAGATATGTTACTAATGTGCCAAATTAAATTTCATAGTGACACATGCACAGATATTAAAATGCTGGCCCCCCAAAAAAAATGAGTTAAAATCCCAGTATTAATTTATGGATTTGAACTGGTTTTGAACTCCCGAATGAACCCAGAACTGAGAAATAATTGAGGCTTAGATCATAGACTTTATAATTGGGAGAAAATTTAGAGATCATTCTGACCAACCCCGTCATCCTCTAAGACGAAGAGACTGAGTGTCTGAGGGGTTAAGGGGCTTGGTCAAGGTTACCAGATAAGTAATGGCAGTGGCAGGTCTAGAGGACAGATTCTGTACTTGAGGGTAAGAAACCTTGACAAGTCAGGACATGAAATGCCAGAGGACCCAATAATGCAATCATATGAGTAGGGGAAAAAAAACAGCTATGTTAAAGTTTGAGGAAGTGGAGTTAATGAAACTGATGAATTAAAGTTAAGGCTTATTTCAGTAATTAATAAGAATCCTTTAATTGAGAATAGCCATTCTTGTCAACTCTGATCATAATATAAAGAAATTATCCACAGGTGAGAAGGTAGCTACAGATTCCTAGAGCAGCCTACTTCCTAAGGCATTAGAGACTCACTCTCCAGGAAAAATGGCAATGGTTGATACTACCCACCTTCCTCTCCCAGGTTTGTGAGAAACTCATATGCAAGCCCTACCCAACAGCACTCTTCTCTGGGAATCCCAAATCTCAGTGCCAGCCTTTCAGGAGGAAAGCACAGAGGTGCCATGTAGACCTCCCCTATGCCAGGCAGGCATCAGAACTGTGACCACGGGGCAGTATGTTCTTAGGCCACCTTCCACAGGTAATTCCCTTCATAAAATACTGCAGAATCAGCAAACTCTCAAAATGCCTTTCTGGGGGACTTGACTCATAAACACTATAGATGGCGTAGGGCCTAATGATACCTCAACTTTTGGATTTTACAGACTAGTTTATTTTCAAATAAATTCAAGGCACTCACTGATAACTTTCTACTTTGCCAAGTAAGTACATTTTAAAAACAAACAAGAAGGAACATCTTAACCCCAGAAAGTAGGAAGGAGATGTATAATGAGAAAAAAAAAAAATCTAGTACTATAGTTGGACAAATTCAATTTTATGAGCATCTATATGGCCCTCCTTTTTTAAATTTCGCACTGGACCGGTGAACATTTTGTTATGGTTATCTCCAACCAGTCCACAGAGAGCATTTGGAAACTCTGATCTTATTCCATTACAAAATACTTCTACCACCACATACATTTATCCAGACTATCTACTGACCGCGTTAACAGGAAACAGATCCCAAATAAGATAATTTGAGAGACTTCACCGAAGGCACTACTTGGAGAAGTGTGGGCAAAGTTAAGGAAAAAGGGAAGATGAGACGCCCATGACAGGCCCTAGCAGGAAGCTGTTACCACCTCCAGGCCTGTGGGCCGAGAAGAGTGTTACCAGGACCCAGGAAAGATGGAACCATAGGAGAGGGGGCAGGCTGGCATTGCAGTCACGCAGTAACAAGGCCACTTCCAGAAAATGCCATCTGGAGTCAGGAAGGTGTTGCAAAAGCATGTCTTGACCTCTTTCACCTTCTGTCCTCCAGACTCTTGCTGGGCATTTTATTGGCCAAACCCACCTGGCATCCAGGAGGCAGGGAGTCCAAGTAATATGATCCCTAGGGGTCAACCTCCTCGGCCTAAAACAGAGAGAATATTGCAGAACAGATGATGGTAGGGGGGAAGGGGAGAAATGGAGAACAGCCAAAACAAAAACAAATAATTCCACGATCATAATAGGTGATCATGCTACTCTTGAGCTCATTCAGTTGTTAAGAACATAAAACTTTATGGGCCAAACTGAAAACAACAGGCATAAGAGTGTTTTCATATCCTTACCTTTCTTCATACCGCTGTTTTCTTTCTCGTGCCATTTTCCTGTTGAAGATTTTAGTGCTGGTGTTTGAATTAAATTCTAGATATACATAAACTTTGCTCTCTAAAACTTGCTCATCCTAAATATGTTTGGAATTTATAACTACTAGCCCCTCAGTTCCAATAATTGTTCACAAACTTTGTCTTCTTGATTTGTTCTTAAATCATACCTAGTCATTTTGGAGACATTTGTTATGTGAGAGTGAAACTGATTTTAGCTGTTTCTAAGGAGGTAGGTAGCATAATTCCTACTGGTAGAAGGTTAAATCCCAAAATCATACTAGAGGCTGAGGAGACACTCAGCTCTCAAAGCTTCCATGAGTTATTGCTGATAAAAGGTGGAAGCTCTTTCTTTCTCCAAACCCATTAATTAGGCTCTGGGCCTCCAGAGGGAGACCCAAGGCCACAGAGAATGGATACACAATTGCTCTGAGTAAGAATGTGAAAGAAACTAACCTTCCAGAGGATGTCAAGGATTAGAACAGAGGAGGAAAGAGATGTAAGAAACCTGACTGGAAAGATTGCGTGAGCAACATAGCAGGAAGTAGGACACTCTGGAGAATAGTAGCTGCCTGTGGCAGGAGGAACAGAGGGATCTGAGGAACAAGAATGAGTGATACCTAATTCTATGTTGTATTCCATAATGTAATGCTTCCTCCATAGTCTCAAACTTCGATAAAAATCTTCTATGCATATGTCTGAAAGGATGGTCTGAGGGAACACCAAAAAGAGCTGAGTTTCACTTGTGGCTCAGTGTGAGGCAAGGAAGACAGCAGCTGTGGGAGGACAGACTCTAGCACAATTGAGATTCCAGCAGTCACGAAGAGCTATGAGGGACCAAGAGAATACAAGGTCTGACAATTAAGTTTGCAAACTCATCCTAGAAAAAAAAGTGCTACATACCCCATTGCTGAATATCACTATGGTCACCTTTAAAACACTCCCCTTGGGAAGCTATGCACCAATGCCAGCGCCTAGTCCACCCTTCAAAACAATTTTGGAACTCTTCTTCTGGAATGGCCATCAGAGCTGTGGTCCTATTACCATTGATGTCCTGAATGTCATCAAAATGTCTTCCTTTCAATATTTCCTTTGTCTTTGGGTAAAGAAAGAAGTCACTGGGGGCCAGATCAGGTGAGTAGGGAAGGTATTCCAATAAAGTTATTCGTTTACTGGCTAAAAACTCCCTCAGAGACAGTGCCATGTGAGCTGGTGCATCATCGTGATGCTAGAGCCATGAATTGGCAAAAAGTTCATGTCGTTTAACTTTTTCATGCAGCCTTTTCAGCACTTCCAAATAGTAAACTTGGTTAACTGTTTGTCCAGTTGGTACAAATGCATAATGAGTAATCCCTCTGATATCAAAAAAGGTTAGCAGCATCACTGCAACAAGTTTGTAAACTTAATTGTCAGACCTGGTATGAGCCCTCAGGAATTCACCGGACTCTTGAGGATGCCCGTGGACTGCCTCAGAAAGTCAGATAGGGGCTCAACCCAAGGCTATTTAAATCTCAGCTAACTTAAATATGACTTAAACATTAAATTCCAAAAAAATCACAACTATGGATCTGCTATTGATCAATGAGACCCGAGTGATTCAACCTACTACCTTTATGGAACTGAAGTAAATTCTAAATTTGTGAATTAAAAAGTTTTATGCTGCCTCTAGTGTTGGTACTCTGCGTTTTACAAACACATGACTTAAAAATTTATGTTTACCAGAAATTAGCCCTCAAAATATGTAAATGGAAATAGCCTTAAGTAAAAAGAAAAAGTGACAGATATTTCATTTTTTTCTAGGCCACAACACTATTACAATATTTGGACTAAGCTACTGTTTTGCTATACACAACACTGTTCACTCCCTTTTATTCTCCTTTTCAAACAGTAGTCTGTCAGATTATGGTTGTGTTTTAGAGTGTTACTAACTTACTCAAGATTTTTAAAATCTTTAAAATAAACCCATCTAACCTCACTATCAACCTGTTCAGTATTTCAATATTTATAATAGCATATAAAATTCTTTTTAGAGCAATGAGATATGACAGGAATAGTTCTACAAAGGAAGTCTAGAGACCTCAGCAAGAGGCTACCTCTGCTTTGAAGGATGGGCATGAATAAGTTTCTTGCTTTTCTGGACCTCAACTTCTCCATCAACAAATGAACAGGTTCAATAGTGATCATCTAAGGCTCTGTGAGCAAACGATAGCTGGCATTCTAAATCAATCCATGAATGACTCCAATTTTCTTTCTCTTTTACTTCTTCTTCCATGTGCTTGCTCTATCAATTTACCAGCAATGATGGGAGAACCCAGTGGTTAGCCATCTTAACCTTTGTAGCAATTAATATGGAAACACTGGCTTGATGGTTCTACTTTCATTTAAACTTGGTCCATTCATCATATCTAGACTAAATATGAGCCAGGCACATACTAGATTTCAGGGATTCAAAATAAGAATAAAATAAACCCTTGATCATGAGGAGCTTCCAGCCTAGGGAGAAGATGGAGCCTTCAGTAATTAAAGTTCTGTAATAAAGTTATATATAAAGCCTAAGGGAAGATAAATGCAGTGATTAAAATCCCCAATGGCGTGGAGGAATCAGAAAGTTCTAGGAAAGAAGGGCTCTTTGAACTAGCCCTTCCACAATGAATAAGTGAGCAGAACAGAGCACGCACGTGCAAAAAGGTACTGGTATAAGCACACAGCTTTGGGTAACAGCGAAAAGCCCAGTGTTAACAGACCGTGAGGTGTGTAGAAGGGGAAGAAAGTGAAGATAAAGATTGTAGACAGAAGGAGAGTCCTTTATGTCATTGTGACAAGGCTGTTAACTGTTCATAAATATCCATTTCTTTCATATGAGGACTCCCACATTGTAGCTAAGCATGTAGCCAACCAGCTAAGGACTACATTTCTGTTGGCCTTTCTGACAGCTTGATGTGGCCATGTGACTTAGTTCTAGCCAATGAGATTGTAAGAAGCAATAAGGGCCACCTCCACAATGTTCCCCTAAAAAGCTGGGGTATGTGTTCCCCTGGCTAAGTCCTCTTCCCACCAGCTAGAAAATGGAAACAAAAGAAGCAGCTATTTAAAACCTAGAGGTGGCAGAGTTGCCCTACTCAGCCCTGAAGACACACCTCTGAATGTTATTTGAGAGAGAAACATCTATCCTATTTAAGCCACTGTACTTTTTAGTCTTTTTATCACAGCAACTTAACCCTGTACCCTAACTAAGATGGCCACATTCTGGAATTTCGAATTTATCCAATAAATGGTAGAAGAAAACATAAAAGGCAGGAAGGGGAGTGACCTGATTAGGTGTGTGTATGTAGAGAGAGAATTGAAGTCGAGACACAGATTTGAATAGAGATAGGATGGGGGGCCCCAGGCTGTGAGAGGCTGCTCTCTGCCAGATACTGTACTGAGTGTTTCTCAGTTAATCCTCACAGTAACATTCAGGGATGTTGTTATTATTTCCATTTTACAGATGAGGAATTCTAAACTTAAACAGATTAAGCATACCAAGTCTCACAGCTGGTAAGCAAGAAAGTTGGCATTCACATCCAGGTTTGTCTGTCTCTAGGCTGGTACTCGACCCCTTGGCACCCCTCTGCCCCCTAGGTAAGAGATGACACAGGGGTGGGCATGGGGGTGAAATTGCCCAGACTGGGAGTGCAGAGCTCAACAGAGAGCAGCGGATGATATGAAGTGCATTTCAGAGATAGAACTGATAGGCAGTGGTAACTGACTTAGAGCCTCAGGAAACAAGAATTATCCATTCACTTGTTCATTAGCAAGGCATGAATCCAATATTTTGTAGATGTGTAGCCTGTTTTTGTTTGAAATTAGATTCAGGGTTTGTGTGTTTTTCCTTGGTCTTTTCAAAGCTCATTGAGTTTATTTTTCCTTCTCTCTCTAGGAGGCTGGTGACTTGTTCAGAGACTCTTGTAATGGGTGTCTCCAAAGGCGTCACCTCCCTCTGTTTCCATTAGGATATGTCTATGTTCTTTACCACATCAAACACATACCATGTGGAGCTTGAAACTAAATCTATTGGCAGACGTTTTGGAAAGCTAGAGGGTGGCGTATTTCACTCTGAGCCATCATTAACAAGGCATTTCATCCTTTGCTTGGACCAGTGGTCTGATCTGGAATGGCATTTGAAAATCTCTGTTGCCTTTTCTTGCTTGCACAGAAAGCGGTTTCATTAAAAATTGGTCTTCAAAATAATGCACGAACATTGATATATAAAATGCTGGTCATTGTCAGCCAAGAGCCCAGAGAAATGGCCAGAGGAAGAGTTTGGAAACCAGCTTAACCCTTCATGGTAGGTGTATTTATGTCTCTGAACATTAACCTCCATATGTGATGTATCTAGCACTTCACAGATTTGAAATCAATTCCATATTTCTTATGACTTTTTACCCTCTTAAGAGCCCTAATAAGTAGGCGTGGTAAGAATTATTATTTCTATTTCCAAAGAAGAAGTATGCTCAAGTGGTTAGCTGACTTGCCCAAGCTCTCTTGGTTAGTGTACTCTTAAAGCCCAAAGAAGGTCATTTATCGCCTCAGTCTGACCTTTCCTTCCATAACTATGGAACGCTATGTGGCAATATCAGAAAGCAAAAAGATCGAATCTTATATTTCATGATGGCCTCTACACTCGTACATTTGCTGTTGTTCAGACAACCCAGGGCATTTTGCAAACAAATGCCATTATTCCTAAAGAAATGAAAGCACCTAGAATATAAGAGAAACAGAACTA